TGGTTTTCACATGTTCTGCACTTCATAATTTTTACTGCTTTTTATGCCCTATAAATGAATTATGCTGTATTTCTGTGAGTCTTCCCTGTTCCTGCTTTTAAAAGTTGGGATCATTTACTGGTAGCTAGTCCTGTGATACTAAGGCAATTTTAGGTGAAAAGTTACTGGGTTTAGTAATTCAGCTATTTCATCCTTGATTTCCTTTAAAGCACTTGAGAAAATACCATGCAGTTTTTCTTTTTAGTTTTTTTACTTGTAAAACCATAGCTAAATAATCTCTTTGAGTGAAGAGTTCAGTCTCCACACCAAACATTTTAGAAAGAAAAATGAAGCTTGTGAATCGGATGTGTATTACAGCACATTAGGAACACAGAAATAAATGAAAAATTGTAGTTAGAGAAAACATGCATTAATCTTTCTCTTCTTAGAGCTTCCAAATCTGCTAACGGGTAGAACAACAGCCACAAACTGGTCTTCTGCTACACTGACTAATTATTTTTTTTTAAAAAGGCTATTTTTATTTGTTAACATTACTACAGTGACGTACATAATTGATCTGTCTCAAAACAAAATATAAATCACCACTACTGCCAAAGTCATTATACACAAGTAAGGCATCGATTCTCAGTATAATTATTACTTTAGCAAATCAATAAAGGGCAGTTTGGTGGAATTAATTTCTTTCTTTGTCGTGTTTCATCGCTGTTCATTCTTATTGTCTACATAACCAAAATAAATCTTTCATAGCATCAATATACCTTTTGTAGTGCCTCCTGTAGCTTTGGATATCATAAAATAGTGCTGCAGGTACGACTGTAGATACTGAATATGGGGTTTTATCACTGCTGTTTATTCAGAGATTGTGACAGGGATCTTTGAATCTTCATGGTATGATTCTTTGTATGATCATTAAAAAGTGAATGTTTACAATAATTGAAATAGACTTTAAAGGTTTGGGGAAGAACTACGTAAGTCAATTTTTTTAAAGGAAAAGAAAGAGCAGTTTAGTATCTGAATTCTTAAAAATTCATTCTGAAGTGCATGTTCTCAGACAATCGTATCTCAAGCATCAACTATTTTACCTGAGGTATTTTGACTTGCCATGAACTCCATAGTAATGAGGCATGAGAGTGGTAGGTTATATACCCACAGCAAATGGCAAAATCCATCTTTGAAAGCTTGTAGTCCAAGTGAAAATAATGGTGTAGATAAGGTAAATGCGAAGGACTTGGAGCCTAAAGTTGATAATTAGGAGAATATTGGGGTAATGCAATCATGCACACTACTTTGCCTTTCCAAGGAGCAAAGCGCGAAAGGTTTAGTAATGCACAATCCATATTGCTGTCTTGTGCTCATGCTAGTAATCTTATACGTTTTTATAATAGTCATTGTCCACTGCATGTGGATTTCTTTAATTATTCACTTATTCTAGAATTACTCACCATTCTTTTCTTTAATTATTCACCTAGATAACAAAATAAACAAAAACTTGTGTGTATCTGGTAGTTAGTGCTTTCTGTGTTGCTGCTTTTTAAGACGGATCTGCAAAGTCAGTTTTAACCTTATTAGTGACTGATCCAGAAACATTTTTACAGCAATACTGCTATTTACTGATGAATCATATGTGCCTCCTCTAATTCAGTTTTATGCTTCTGAAGCTGCATGTATTTTATTCAGGGTTTCAGTGAAAGAATCTTGTCATAGTCTAGTTCAACACAAAGTTAGTTACGTTAACATTTCATTCTCATGCTGTCAATTACAACAAGCTATGTAGCAAGCTGATCAGAAGAATATCATCCCCTCTGCTTTTATAGAATAGAAAATCATCACAGAAAATGAGTCAGACATTTTCTTTAGGGGTGAATCACAGAATTGAGTGTAAAACAGTTTGTTGTGTCCACCAATCCTGCAGCAGGCTTGTTTAAGGGTGGCTCCACAGAAATGTTTGGTGTTTGGTTTTGCCAGCAGTCTTGAAGTACCTTTAATGAAAAAAATATACTCTGTGGAAAATATTGTGGTAGAACTATTGAAGTGATTATGATTGCTTTCCCAACAGATAGAGCTGAAACATTTCTGTTTGTTCAACTGAGAGACAAAGTGGGTGTTTACCAGAGCTTTATGGCGTCTTTCCTGTGAAATGTGTCTCTTGGGTGTACAGGGCAAGCCAAAGGCTTTCCTCCTTCTGTTAAACAAAGTTCACTGATGGACATGCATCAAAGAGCCTTGATACTGATCATAGTACTTTTATCTGCTTGATGTTGAATGTTCCAGAGGCCCAAGGTACAAGAATGTTGTTTTTTAAAGATATGAGAGAGATTCTGCTTTTAAAATGGGGATGTGCGTGTGTGACCAGTCACACATATTACACAGAATGTCGGGTTTGCAAAAGAAATCCAAATTTCCTTGGTCTATAACTGGCTATTTCATTGACATTCAAAAGGCATCACTCCTTATCTTTGGACAGTTATGTTCTGGAAGGTCTTTAGTCGGAAGTCTGGATCAGGAGGAGTTTTAGCAGCACTGCTCTTGGGGCTTGTCTCATGTTAAACCTGTGTCTTGAGCACATGGCCTGATAGGAATCTAGGGAGAAAAGATCCTCTCTTTCTGCTGATTACCAGGCTTAGTTGAGAACTGGGCTTTCTGTACCTTGATGGTGCTACTGGGAGCACAACAGCAGCCTCTCTCCAGTAGTGGAGCTCTTCCTGCTGGGTGAATCCCTTGCACTCATCCAGTGAGTGACATCAGACCCTCGAGTTACATGTTCTTGAGACCACGGTTGAAACCACGTTCTTACAGAAGTCCTTAAGTTTGTGTATACACACACACACACGCATCTATGATTCCAGTTAGGATTACTGTTTTCATACATGTGCAATAATATTTTTAGGGCTTTATATGTGGGACAAAGGAAAACTCTTCAAGCATATGCTTCTTAAATTAGATTCTCTAGCAGCTAAGTAATTTAATACAAAATACAAACAAAAATCCATAGCAATGGTAAATACAAACCTTATGCCTCAACTTTGACTGTTGTCTGCTATTTTACATTCAAATTCACTTTTTTAACCCTCATTGTCCAGAATGGTATGTCAAAACACTTGCGGTCACAGGCCACTTCATTGTAGAAGTGGTAAGAGATGCTCGAGAAGGTATTCACGTGAGTTCTCCAACGTTACCCTGTTGAATACCTTGACAATGACAATCTGGAAGTTGACAGTAGGCTCGTCTGCAGCATTTTCTTTCCATTTCTCTGAATGTCTGCGATGCGTATCTTGGTATGCCTATAATCCATCATATAACCAAAAAAATCCACTTACTGTGTTGGTATGTCACCAGTCTGACTGGTGATGCCAGTGGCAGGATAGTCCAAAATCCTAATCCTAGTTTTTCTAGGGTTCTACAGCAGTTTAGTGGATTCCTAGAACAATCAGGTTTTGGGTTTTGGTTGGGTTTTTTTTTTTGGTTGGTTTGGGGTTTTTTGGGTTTTTTGTTGGTTTTTTTTGTTGGTTTTTTTTTTTTTTTTGTGTAGGGTGTGGTCCTGCTTTTCATTTGGTTTGGTTTTGGGGGTTTTTGGTGCAGTTACAAGCACTGATGGAGCCAATGTTATTTATTTTCCTCCGGAAGTGTCACATTCCCAATGCCTTATTTCTGCAGTGCACTCTATCCCTCTGTTCTTTCCCTATTTCTTTGGCCGTCCCTGATTTCAAGCCAATATTTAACTGTCAAGCAAGGCAGGACGGGGCGGACCGGGAGCCCTGCGGGGAGGTGTGGGGGGGTCCCGCATCCCCGGCCCCCCCCGCCCCGTTGCAGCACCACGGCCAGGGCCGGGCCCCGCCGGCCGAGCACCATGGAGAGGGGCTCCCGGCAGCAGCCGCTGCCCGCCCGTCCGGACCACCTCCAGGGGGAACTCCCCCTCTCATCCCGGGGGGAGGGTTTCTCAGGTTTAACATAACGTAGGCCCGTGGAAGATGGGGTGCTAGAAGACGTTCGTGTAGTTGCGCTAGAACAAACGCCCAGGCTCTTTCAATATATATTTATATTGTGCGGTGGAGCGGTTAACGGCTAGATTCTCTTCACTGAGGAGAGTGTAACTTCAGCTGGGACAGTGTACATCAAGTTTTGTAGACAGAATTTCATAAATGGAATTCTTTAGGAATATAGAGGTGCTGTTCTTTCCCTCTGGCATATCATTTCATCTGAATGAATTTGTTTTACTTCCTCACCTGTACCCCGTGACATTTGAAGGAAACTCAGTTTGGCATGGTTGTTCTTTATTAAATATTAAAGTTATTACTTTAACCATTTTCATTGTCCCCAGGTTTATCTCCTCCCAGAGGAGAGCTACCAAGCTGGTGAGGGGTCTAGAGAACAAGTCATATGAGGAGAGGCTGAGGGAACTGGGCATGTTTAGTTTGGAGAAGAGGAGGCTGAGGGGAGACCTCATTGCCCTCTACAACTACCTGAAAGGAGGTTGTAGAGAGGTGGGTGTTGGCCTCTTCTCCCAAGGGAATAATGACAGGAGCAGAGGAAATGGTCTGAAGTTGCAGCAGGGGAGGTTTAGATTAGATATTAGGAAGAATTACTTTGCTGAAGGAGTGGTCAGACACAGGAACAGTCTGCCCAGGGAGGTGGTGGAGTCACCATCCCTGGAGGTATTTAAGAAACGTGTAGATGTGCACTTCAGGGCATGCTCTAGTGGCTGAGATTATAGGGGGTTTTTTTGTGTGTGTATGGTTGGACTCGATGATCTTAGAGTTCCTTTCCAATCATGACTATTCTGTGGTTCTGTGATCTTACTTTGTAACTAGCCAGTGTAAAAAAGCAGATTACTTAGTCCTGCAGATCCTTGAAGAGAATGATCATTTCTTCTTGTAAATGTAATGGTTAATCTTGCCAAATCATATCTGACTTCTTCTGAGTTGCTTCAGAAATATGTCAGTATCAAAAAAATCTCAGTGCTGCATGTTAAGAATTTTGCTGTCAGACCTGGTGGTACAATATCTACTGTTAACAATACAGGAAGCATATTTGGGCTGATATTCATTTTTCCTATAATCATTAAGGTAATTCTGCTCCTCACACAGGCCATGAATCCAAAATAATTAGGTAATGCTTTGATGTAACAGTTTGTTGCTCCCATCATGTTTAGTTAGGATACCAACTACTGAACTTTTTAACTGTTTGTTTAAAATCTACTGAATTTACAAAAGAACAAAAGCTAGTATTTCTTCTTTCCCCCAGACTGGGCATACTTTGGACTAAAAATTTTGGACGACTGTTAGTTCCATTATCAGAAGGATGACCTCTTCATACTGGAATAGTTAGAATATTTTATTGATACTGAACTGGTGGGCTCCCTCATCTACGTTATTTTAGGGAGAATTCTCAAGACTTGAAAAGAGTTGTGTAGATACTGAATATTTCAAGATGGAGTGATGCAATGTATCGCAGACCTGTCTTAAGTAAGACATCTTTTCTTTATTTAAAGATGGAGTGATTGTTATTGTTCCATTCTGTAATGTATAGCAGACCTGTCTTAAGTAAGACATCTTTTCTTTGGTTTTGTTTCCTTTAGGTTCAACATGGCTAGTACATTCAAAGAAACACCTACACTTGAAGCTTCTTGTTCAGAAAATGTTGATGCTAAGCTGACCTTTCTACCTGAAAGACTGAGAAAGAAACTGCTTCCTTTTCAGGAGAAAGGCATCATATTTGCACTTCAGAGAAGTGGCAGGTAAAATCCTTATTTTATCATATGCTAAAAATAATTATTTTAGGTAAATGTAAATTAATTTTTAGAAAGACTATGCAATACCAGCAGCTCTTAGGTCAGTTTTATTATAGATTTTTTTGGTAAACTGTAAGATAATGTGGTTTAAAAAGAGGGGTTGTTTTGGTTTTTTCCCCAGAGGATGAAGAAATGTTTAATAACGCATTATGCAAAAGAGGATTGTAGTATCAATGATCTCCTCACGTAAGAGGAGGCTGATATCTGTAGGACCATCCTTTTTGTCATGTTAATAGAGATTTCTTAAAATAAGTTAATTCAGATTTGTTTCTTTAGTTCTTAATGGCGTGGTAGAGCTGTTAAGAGAATGACTAACAGATCTCGATGCATCTGTGTGGTATTCTATTTTAAACTTGGTACAATTCTGGCATGTAATCAGAGTGTTCTGGAACTCACTGAGCTGCAACAGCAGAGCAGAACAAGCCTTGCAGAGTGCTCAGTTAGCAAGTGCAGCAACGGATAGAGCAGGCATTCAACAATTAAATACCTGATAAATCAGAAAAATCATTTATGCAGCAGAGGCTGGAAATATTTTCCCGAATAAGAGCCTGGTACTGAGCTACAGGGGCAAAGAAGAGGGAAGGGAAATGCTATTTCCACATTCGTAAATTTTAGAAAATTTAGGCCCGTTCGACCTAAAGCCATGAAACTGCTGGATGTTGTTCTTTTGGAAAGTAATGACATTTTAGAGGTCTGGCACAACTGAAATTATTTTAGCTTAGGTTTTAAAGAAGGACAAAGTTAGTTTCTGATCACTTCATCATCTTGCTCAAAACAAGAGGCTTAGGGTCTAAGGGGTTTGCTTGCTATTGTTTGTGATTTTTTGCAGGAGAAAAGAAATGTGTATCTCTTTGTCTAAAGGTGAAAAATTGGAAAGGTGGTGTTCTTCCAATTATGTGGAACTCTTGATCAATTAAAATTTCCTCTGAAGATTTTCACTCTAATTCTCTTCGTTTGGCCAAAAATCTTTGGCATTGATAACATTGCTGTCTTCAGGAAATGAAGCAAGCCAGAATAGGTAGCAGAGTAGAAAGGTGAGCCCAGCCACTAACGTGCAAGCCTGAGATATAAAAAGCTTTATGCTGCATTGGCATTAACTTCTCAGTGACACATGGTCATATTAGGGACTTTCCTGCTGCACAGTGTTGACAGTGAGATGGAGTGCATACAGTTTTAATGAATCGCAGAGACTTTGATAAAATAGACAGCAAAGTCTACACTGGAGTTGAATTTAATAAATCTAAAGCCCTTGGTTACCACGTTGCGGTTGATACAATTCTAATAAGGGGAAGTGGGGTTTATATAGTGTGCAATTGAGTTCTCTTTGTATCCTCAAATAGTGAGGTAACAGAAGACATTAAATATATATAGTTTCTTGACTGTTAATTAATGCAGGTTAGTAGATGTATTTGAAAGTAGCATAATCTTTTGCAGCATATTATAAAATATAGATGTTCCTGAGGAAGCAGCTTAACTGTAGGACTACTTCATTATCAAAACTGTTGAGTAATATGGCATTTATGGTTTTTCTGTGGCAGGCATATGAAAGTATTTTCATCATGATTGCAAGAAATCTCATTCCTTGGTGTAGCAATTCTATATGTTAGCTGGGTCAAATTGAGAAATTGTGTGCATTCTCTCAGCCAGCCTCTGTACAAAGCAAAATTTATTAAGTCAAACTTTCCTGAGGAGTATTTTTTTAAATCTATCCCTTGCTCAGACAGATCTAATTTTCTTTCTGTCCCAAAACAGAGAACAAGAGCCTCTGCTGCTTGTAGCTGAATTTTCTTATTAGTTTGTCTGCCCTTGGCTCACCCAAGTCTTTCCCTTTTGTGTACTCCGTAATGATTTAAGCCTTCTTTCAGTATTCTCAGTGGTATATTTTAGCAGGGTCTGGTACTTTTCCATAAAAATATATTTTCTAGTTTGAAAACTATAAACATAGGACTTGAACTCAGCAGTATGTGCATCTCAGCTCTTCTGTTTTCCCTGCCTCAGGCAATGCGCTCCCTTTGCAGTCGTCATTTAGTCCATGCTTTGCTGTAGTGGCAGGAAACTGTTGTAGAGAAAGTGCTTTTTTGTTGGCTGAAGAGATTCAATTAATATTATCTTAGGTTTCACCCAGCGTGAAAAGGGACTTATTATTAGAACAAACTTATTTCTTGCATGGAAAGGGCTGGGAGTAACCTATTAATTCCCTTGTCTTTTCTCTAAGCATGAAATAAATATGCTGTTTTGATTTGTGCTTTTGATTCATTAGTAAGTGAATCAAAGGCTTTTTCAGTGGGTGCTCCAAAGACATCATCTAGACTAACAGAGTCTGCCTAACACTTTGCTAGGAAGTAGTCATTCTAGAGCCAACAAGACAGTGTATAGTTCAACGTATGGTAAGACACCTTTTAGCTTACAGACATACCTTAATGGTAAATAACTGCATGGTTCTTATTCCTTACTAGGGATTATTCTTCAGCAGTGCACTTGGGGATAGGTACCTAGGGATGGAAACAATGTTTGATCTTTATTTACAACCTCAAACATTAATATGCAGAAAAGATGGGCGCACAAAAATTCTGTGCTTGAAAAATATCTTATTTTTTATGCTTTTCTTTCAGGAAAAGTGCAAGTTACTTTTAAAATCAGCATAAATATGTATTTATTTGTTTACATGTGCTTTAAACTGTCTTTTAAATACAGAGCAACAAACTTGTCCCTTCCAGGAATGTAAAATCTTAGCAATGGGCTTAGGGAATATTTAGGGTTAGGGTCAATTGTGTGTAGGCTGTTGGGAGGTGGAGGTGAGCAATTCTCCCTGTTGCTCTTTGTATGCTGGTTATTAGGCAGAGTTGGGCAGATGCGGACAAATCCCCATTTCCTAAGAGCACAGGGTAACCCAGCCACAGGTGAAGATGCATAAACTGAAAACCTTAAAGATGTCATCTTGCTTTATGGGTTTAGTTGCTCTGAGCAGCAGAGTGTAATTTTCAGGCTTATTTTATTCTTCCATATAAAAATCTCGGAAATATGCAGGAGGAGGCTGACTTGAGAATGAAGGCCTAAACAGTACTGAGAAGGTCAGGTGTAAATGAAGAAGAGGCAGCAGTGTCAAAGCACAGTACTCTAGAAAAAGCAGTACAAGTTTGGGCAAAATATCCAAGATGCAGAGATATATGGGAAAATGGCTTAATTATATTGATAACAATTGTATTCAATGTCTTTTAAGCCCACATCTCTCTTTGGATATTAATGATTTTTACTGTTACTGTTTGCTAACATAATACTTGGAAACTCACAATCCCTTCCTGCCGTGTATTCTTGTTTTAGATCATGTCTTTATAGAAGTGTGCGACGTCTGTCTTGTATTACAATTTACTCACCTGAATATAGTGTACAAGTCAGAATATACTGTACATGCTAGTGTTTGAAAGTTAGCTCTCTTGCTATTGGGTAACATGCACAAACCATACCACTAAATGCTTTGTCAAGTTTTATAATAGGAACTGTTACTGTGTGATTTGCAAACATCATTATTTAGCATTGCTTGCCTTGTTGACAGTATCTGAAAAGAATGCCTTCAGACACACAGATAATAATTTTCTTTCTAGAAATGTTAGCAGGACGATTTGTTTAAGCCATCTTGCTTGGGGATATGAAAGAGGATTTGGAAATATTTACCACTCATGAAATTAGCTTTTCCATTATAATTGTACGTTCAAACCATTTTACTGGGGTAATCTAGTTTCCTGCTGTGTCTTCTTCTCACTTCTCGTATAACGTTCAAGTGCATTAACATTGTAACCTCCGTTTTCTGGCAAAAAAAAAAGGAAGAATTTTTGATATAAATTTATCTAAATATTGAAATGCTTATTGGTACCTTCACCAGGATCTGTATTTATAGGCAACTTTTGCTTTTTAATGCAACTTTGCAAGTTTTAGAGGTAATACATTAACTTATGTGTTCTGGAGCATGTGATTTTGAGTTTCCCATACGTGTTGGCTTAATGTTATTTATTGAGTATAAACACAGTAAATGACAATGGATGGCAATAACATGATATGCAGAGTTCATATCTGGCATTAGTAGCTATCAGTTTTAACGAAAAGGTATTTGTTTTGTTAGTCATTTTCTAGAGTAAGAAAAAGTTGTATAGTGTTTAATATTGTTTTGGATAGTAGGCTACAGAGAATCATTATGATAGCAAGCTCATTAGAGAATCGAGTACAAGTGTCCCCTATTATAATAACGAGTCAGTTGGCTGCACTTCAAAATAGTACATTTTTTTCCACTGACTGAGTCTCTGATCTTTAGCAAGCTACACAGGAGAAATGCATCGTTAATTCTTTGTTAATTAAAACGTATTTTTAGTTCAAAACTTTATCAGTCTGCATAGAAATTAATTCCTGCCTTTTCCTCAAAGTAAATCAGAAAAACAGAGGCTCAGATCAAAAATTTTCCTCAAAGCTTATGAACACAGCTACAGGTTCTAAGTCCAGTTCCTCACTGGAAAGGTAGAGCATATACAGTCTGCTGAGATTTTAGTAGGAAGCAAATATAAATCTTTAGAATTCCTAGGGACAGTATAGCCCTTTGTAGGGCCAGGAATTTCTGATAGAAGTCACATTTAAATTATTGGACAAACTTCTACACAAATTCCTTTAACTTTCTAGGATGGCAGTAGGAAGGAGTGATGAGCACATGCAGAAATTGAGTCTAGATTTCTGTGCACCACAGTGAACTAACATTTTTTTGTCCCCATTGAAATTCAAAGTTATCAAGTTCTCAGAAATCCTTATTCTGAACCTGCTTTGTTGTATCTCATTCAGACTGCCTGAAGACAAAAAAAGCACCCTGTAGTCTGCATGTCCCGTGTGTTGGGCAGGGGTGCAGGAGTGGAAATGTGTCTTTTAATAGAATTTTTTAGACCTTGAGGAAAGGTTAAGCTTTCTTT